TCCCACCAAAGGGGTCCCTATTCTGCTACTTGCATTTTTTTACATGCTTTCGAACTGCTAGGTTGGCAGAAGCTGGGGCAAGTAATGGGAGCTCACTCCATTACGCAGCACTAGGGATTCGAACCGCCAAATTGCTGACCTTTCTGATTGACAAGCTCAGCGTCTTAGCCACTGAGCCACCGTGTCCCTCTTTTAGGAGAACACACACACACACACACACACACACACACACACACACACACACACAAGGCCCACAGAGTTTGGAGGGATCCAGAGGGAGACTAGATTAGCCCAAGCAGTGTCCTGATTGATCTAAAACATAGAGCATAGAATATAGAATAACAGAGTTGGAAGGGACCTTAGAGGTCTTCTAGTCCAACCCTCTGCGTGAGCAGGAGACCCTATACCATTCCAGACAAATGGTTGTCCAGTCTCTTTTTGAAAGCTTCCAGTGATTGATAACCTGATAGTGGGGCCTTATAGAAGTCTAGGTGGTATTCCTATAATAAAAGGAAGATTAGCATGACTTTGGTTCCATAATCTGAGCTACCTTGAATGGTTGACCACCAACAAGCTGTAGCAGTGTTCCTGTGGGTACAATCTTCTGCAATTTACTAATCATTTTGTCAAAGGGCCTGGTATGTATCAGCTACATTAAGTTGATGTGAAAACACGGTCCCTTCTGTCTCCATCCTTTAGGGCAGGGGTGTTCCTGGGAAATTATGGGAGTTGAAGTCCACCAGTCTTAAAGCTGCCAGTCCTAAATTGCATTAACAGAGGGATACAATCAAGATGAAGTGAGGTACTAATATCACTCTATAAAGCCTTAGTAGGACCACACCTAGAGTACCGCATCCAGTTTTGGTCACCACACTATAAAAAAGATATTGAGACGCTAGAAAAAGTACAGAGAAGAGCAACCAGGATGATTAGGGGACCGGAGACTAAATCATATGAAGAACGGTTACAGGAACTGGGCCTGGCTAGTCTAGGGAAGAGAAGGACCAGGGGAGACAGGATAGCAGCCTTCCAATATTTGAGGGGCTGCCACAGAGAGGAAGAGGTCAAGCTATTCTCCAAAGCACCCAAAGGCTAGACAAGGAATAATTGGATGGAAACTGAACAAGGAGAGATTTAACCTGGAAACAAGGAGAAACTTTCTGACAGTGAGAACAATCAACCCATGGAACAGAAGTTGCCCTCGGAAGTTGTGGGAGCATCATCACTTGAGACTTTCAAGAAGAGATTGGACTGCCATTTGTCAGAAATGGTGTAGGGTCTCCTGTTTAGGCGGGGGGTTGGTCTAGATGACCTACAAAGATACCTTCCAACTCTGATTAATTGTATCTAGTTGACCCCCTCTTCTTTGTGGCAACCTCTCAGATACTGGAACACTGCTATCATGTAACCCCTAGACCATTTTTTCATCAAACTAGACATACCCAACTCCTGCAGTTGTTCTTCATATATTCTTCATAACTCAATCATCTGTCTCCTTCAGTGGTGGGTTTCAAAGTAGTTTACCACCAGTTCGGTGGATGTGGCTTTGAGCGTGTGTACACACTTAGTGCGCGTGTGCCAAATGCACACTTTGCGCAGGCGCAGAGGCTTTCCGACTCACCCCCTGCAATCCTGCACTCTCCCTGTGTCTTCAACAGCTGGCGTACGGCAATCTGCTGTGCCACACAAAGCAGCTGTGCTTCAAAAGCTGGAAACAAAGGTCAGTGTGGGAGCCTGGGCAGGCGGGCCCAACAGCAGATCATCGGAGCGAAACGGTTCACTCCCAGGTGATCTTTGGAGCTACCAGTTTGGCTGAATCAGGCCGAACCGGTAGAATTCCACCACTGCTCTCCTTCCTCTGAGCTATGGTTTTCTCTATTAGTTGTTTTTGAGATGATCAGGGTCTCCAGCACAGGTGGGTCTTCAGCAGGTTCTGTCCAGGTCTGGAGAGCCGGCAGTGGAAATTTTGAGTAGTTTGGAGAACCAGCAAATCCCACCTCTGACTGGCCCTGCCCCCATCTCTTCTCTGCCTCCCATTGAGTCCCAGCTGATTTCTTTGGTTGCTCTGCACAGGAGAACGGAGCTGGAAAGCAGGTTAGTGCGGTGGGGAGGGAATGGGATTTTGCAGTAACTTTCCAATGGAGTGGGATGGAAATGGAGTTTTTGCAGTATATCCTTCCCCTGCCATGACCACCAAGCCACACCCACAGAACCTGTAGTAAAAATGTTTGAATCCCACCACTGGTCTCCAGGAATTATCTTGTAGACCTGATGTGTAGGGGGTCTCCTCTCCAAGCCCAGACAGCTGACTTCTAGGTTGGGAGAGGTGGTGGATAAACAGAGTGCCATTTCTGACAGATAGCTAAATCTGTGGGTCTGTTCATCTGTCAGAATATAGCTCATTACCACAACTCATTGAGTAAATGCCCTTCCTGAAGACATGATCCTCCAGCTGTAAGCCAGAATAGAGACCACGGGGAGATCAAAACTATACCATTTTATATCCCTCTCTGGGTAACAGTAGAAGAAGGGAACAGTAACTAAGCTGGAAAGAAGTGCCCTAAAATTGCCATCTAACACAGTGCTTCTCAACCTTGGCAACTTTAAGATGGGTGAACTTCAATTCCCAGAATTCCCCAGCCAGCGTGGAACTCTGGGAATTGAAGTCCACCTATCTTAAAGTTGGATTGGGGTTGAGAAACTATGATCTAACCCAAGGGTTTTCAAACTTGGCAAGTTTGAAGACTTGTGGACTTCAACACCCAGAATTCCCGAGCTAACATGACTGGAGGAGGAATTCTGGGAGTTGAAGTCCACCCATCTTAAAGTTGGATTGTGGTTGAGAAACTATGATCTAACCCAAGGATTTTCAAATTTGGCAAGTTTAAAACTTGTGGAGTTTAACTCCCAGAATTTCTGAGCTAACATGACTGGAGGAGGAATTCTGGGAGTTGAAGTCCACAAGTCACAGCTGTCAAGTTTGAAGGCCCCTGATCTAACCTACTCCTTGCATCAATGAAAAGGCAGAAGGATGAACACGTGTAAAATGCCTTGGGTGAGCAGATTTGAAGGTCAAGGGTCAGGTCAAATTATCTTGGGAGTTTTCAGCAACAGGGATCCAAATCTGTCAATCAGGATTTGGGTCTTGGTTTTTGTTTTTTTGTTTTTTTGTAAAATGGGACTGTCTTTACATAAGACTATTCAAAGCTGAGTTTTCTATCCCATCACAAGAAGAATCATATGAAAGTCTTTTTCACACGCGTCATTAGAACACATCAGCAGTGATGGCCAAAATAGAGACTGATTTCTTGTAGGAGCTGGTTAACATAACACACTAAGCCATAATATGTTGGCTTGGGTCTTAGCTTATTGTGTAAAGTTTGGAAACGCAGCTTGTGGCAGTGCTAGTAGATTGTATAAAGCCACAATGAACAGATGATGCAATAAACAAGGGATAGGCAAACCATAGTTTAGTGCAAAGTGTGAACCAATTCATTACTTGTGTTTAGACAATACATTTCAATAAAGACATGGTAGATACATTAAGGCAAATATAGGGGGTCTTACAATTGTTTTGTCAACTCATAAAACATTCCTATGCCTGTTTTAGTAGTTGCCATAAGGAAGGCGGGGAGGAAGGAAATCTGAAAGAGCAGTTTGAAAGCTAAAGTACATTCCAACTCTTATCTTTAAAAGATTGTAACCAAAATACCAGAGTTTTTGCCTGCGAATGTATTTAATTGGAGAATGTGATTGATGACACTCAGCCTGTGAATGTGCTCAATTGGAGAAGCTGATTTATGAGACACCCAGAGGGGAGGGGGAAAACAGGTTCATAGATGACTGTAAATTATGTGTGCCAGAGTTGGCTTCATACAGGGCAGTGCCAGTATGTCGTCTCATAATAAATCCTTTGAAGTTTTTGAAGTTTGGCTCGAGAATCATGATTGAATTAGAGCAATTGCTGGAATCCTGACATGTTTGTTTAATGACTGTTCGGAGTTACAACGGCACTGGAAAAAAAGTGACTTATGACTGTTTTTCCACCACTATGACCATGGTCACGTGATCAAAATTTGGACTTTTGGCAACTGGTTCATATTTATGTTGGTTGCAGCATCCCAAAGGCATGTCATCATTTTTTGATGAGCAAAGATAATGGGGAAGCCAGATTCACTTAACAACTGCAGTGATTCACTTAACAACTGTGGCAAGAAAGGTCGTAAAATGGGGTAAAACTCACTTAACAAATGTCTCAGCAACATACATTTTGGGCTCAATTGTGGTTGTAAGTCAAGGACTACCTGTATGCTAAGCTGGAGTTAAGTTTGTGACCTTCCCAGCCAACTTGGGACAAGCAAAATTAATGGGGGGAAGACCGATTTGCTTAACACACAATTTACTTCTAACCACAGTGATTCACACAACAACTGTGGCAAAGTAGGTTGTGAAATCAGCTGCAATTCACTTAACAACCAGCTTGCTTGGCACCAGAAACTCTGGTTCCAAAGGTGGTCATCACTTGAGGACTAGCTATATTAATTCTCCTAGCTTCTGTTACACACGCCCCCAAAATGGATTAAAATTCTATCAAGGGTGCAGCCATTAAAAACTTAATGGCTTTCTTTCCAAACATCCAAATTCTGCTTCCTGTCCCCTTTTTGAAATCAGCCAGCCCGAAACCTCAAAAAAGGGCCGATGGAAACACCAATAAATCAATGTTGCTTTGCTCTTCTGATTTGCCAATCCAAAACGTTGCAACGTAAACCACCTCCGTACAAAAAAAAAATGAAGAGAGACATGATAGGACAGGAGTCTCCAACCTTGGCAACTTTAAGACTTGTGGACTTCAACTCCCAGAATTCCTCAGCCAGCTTTGCTTTAAGACTTGTAGACTTCAACTCCCAGAAGCTTTGCTGGCTGAGGAATTCTGGGAGTTGAAGTCCACAACTCTTAAAGTTGCCAAGTTTAGAGACCTCCTGTGACAGGAGATTTTGTGATCCTATGTACAAGTGAAGGGGGAGGCATTGCACTTAATTTCTTAATACATCCATTTGATAGACAACATTAACTTTTCTTTAATATAAATCTCTGCAGATAGGTGTGAGGGAGGGGGGAGGAGATCTGGAATACCGAGCTCCTCATATATACAGTTTAATTGGTTCAGGTCAACATCACAGTTGGTTCTTCCTTTGCAACCTGACGTAACAGCCCCGAGTCCTCTCTCTGGTCCTCTCCAGTAGAAGTGTGTCACTTTATAAATACGCTTGATCTCCAGCTTTAGGTTCTTTGCCAAGCTTCTCGTTTTGTTCTGGTGTTGGTAAGAAACAAATATCCTCCAGAAGGAAAAATATTTTGGCATCCTGGAGGCAATAAGTCTTTGACAAACAGCATGGGAAATGCTTGGTCTGGCAGACACCGTTCCGGATCCTTTGAAGAAAGCCACAGTAGCACAGAAACTTCCAATCTTCTTTCCAGGCTGAGCGGGATCGAGCTAGGCAAGCTCTTCGGGCTTTGCTGCCACCTTCCGCCAGATCTCATTGTGGCCAAGGCAGGACGTTGTGGAAAAATAATTTCCAGTTGCTAAAGGCACAGAGAACGGGGTGGAGTATCACCAGGCTTGTAACGGACACTGGGAGGAAAAGAAAAAGAAGGTTAAGAATGTGAGGAAGGGTCTTAGATCGGGCCAGAATCTAATCCAACGAATCAGATAACAGATAACAGATAATCAGAGTTGGAAGGGACCTTATAGTTCATCTAGTCCAACCCCCTGCCCAAGCAGGAGACCCTACACCATTTCTGACAAATGGTAGTCCAATCTGTTCTTGAAAGTTTCAAGTGATGAAGCTCCCACAACTTCCGAGGGCAACTTCTGTTCCGTTGGTTGATTGTTCTCCCTGTCAGAAAGTTTCTCCTTATTTCCAGGTTAAATCTCTCCTTGTTCAGTTTCCATCCATTATTCCTTGTCTGGCCTACAGGCGCTTTAGAAAATAGCTTGAATCATGGAGAGAAGCAGCCTGGAATTAAGGAGAGACTTCCTAATGGTGAGGACAATTAACCAGTGGGACTGCTGGCCACCAGAAGTTGTGGGAGCACCACAGCAGTGGGATTCAAATTGTTTAACCACCAATTCGGTGGGCATGGCTTGGTGGGCGTGCTTTGCCTAATGCTGGTGCGCAGCTTTCCCCACACCAGCTGAGACCTGCAGCGCCAATCAGCTGAGAGGATAAAGAAGAGAAAACTGCAGGGGTGGGTGGGAGGGCCTATCCTGCACTTTTCTCTTCCTTTTCCTCTCAGCCGATTGTCGGCTTTTTTTTTACTACCGGTTCGAGTGAACCGGTCCAAACCGGTAGCATACCACCACTGGAGCTCTAACACTGGAGGTTTTTAAGAAGAGACTGAACAGCCACTTGTCTGAAATGGTATATAGAATCTCCCTGTTTGAGCCGGGGGTGGACTAGAAGACCTTCAAGGTCCCTTCCAGCTCTATTCTGATTGATTCTGAATGATTGATTTGAAGATGGACAGACTAATGCCTGTAACTCATTAAACATTCTCTGAATTGACCCGGTTCTTATCCTTTTGAGCCAAGAAACAACATTGAAATATAAGATCAAACATAATACAGATCGTCCTCAACTTATAACCATAATTAAGTTCCACTGCTAAGCGAGACAGTTATCAAGTGAACTTTGACCCATTATATGATGGCTGTTAAGCAAAACACTGCATTTGTTAAGTGAATCATGTGGTTGTTAAATGAATTAGCCCCCCCCTCCCAGAAGGTTGTCAACAGTGATCATGTGACCCTGGGATACTGCAACCCTTGTGCAAATAGTCCTTTGACTTACGAGCATAAGTGAGACCAACGTTAAGCAAGACAGTTGTTAAATGATTTTTGTCCCGTTTTACGATCTTTCTTGCCACAGTTGTTAAGTGAATTTTGCAATTATTAAGTTAGCAACCCAGTTGCTAAGTGGATCAGGCTTCCTAGTTGGCTTTGCTTGTCAGGAGTTTGCAAAAGGGTGCTGGGACGTTACGACCGTTATAAATACAGAGCCAGTGGCCAAGGTCTGAGTTTTGATCCCATGGCCATGGGGAGGCTGCAATGGTCCTCGGTGTGAAAAACGATCATCGTGTCACTTTTTTCCGATGCTTTTGTAACTTCCAACGGTCACTAAATGAATGGCTGTAAGTCAAGGACTGTCTGCAATACAAGAATTTGCTCTTTCAGTTCCATGTTGTGTTGTTGTGTTGTTGTCTTTTTAAGCTTGTAAACGCTGCGTGCCGAGATTTAGCTCTGAGCTTACAGGAAGTCTATCAAGGGAACATCAAAGCAGAAATGCCCAAATGTTGACCGACGTCAAGATGACAGCTGGCAACCTTTTTCTTTTAAAGCTAGGAAGCTGAATTTTCTTCCCTGCTTCTCAGGATCACCAGCAAAGGCCCAACAAGTCGTGTCTTGCTAAGGTTTTGATGAAGGAAATGGCTTCCTGAATCCAGGCAGGCTTGTTTGAACAAGCCAGCATCAAAGTTAATGGGCGGGTCCGGAGAGAATCATCTATCAAGGGCAAAGTTAGGGTTGAGTGCATGCTAGATGAATCAGCAAGGCCTTCTAAGGAAATTGTCTCCTCCTGGAGACTGGATCCGCGTGATTGCCTGACTGATGGAGATAGGCGGGTTAGAGGTTCCTACTGCTCCACATTTTGGGTGGAAATATTGGATACTAGCTCTATACCTGTGCTTCGCTATGAAACTATGTGATCGGGCTTAGTTTTGGGGGAGGAAAATAAGGGGGGGGGAATTGTGCTGCTGCCTACCAGCATCCATCGATATTTATCTGGCTAGCGCCCTGTCAGCGTGTGAGAGAGTTGAGGGTTGTTTAGAAATCGAAACATGGAAACTGAAACAGTATTTGCTGTGTGAGCAAGAAGGAGACAGCAAGGAGCCTGGACGTGACTTAGCTGAACTGTTCTGTACTAAAGCTGCTTGGTGCTGTGAAATGAAAACTGAATCTCCTCTGCTTGTGTTTTGCATTTGGAACAGGTTTCTTTTCAGGTGGGGGAACTTCATCGATGGAAGCTTTCGAGAAGAGACTGGACTGTCATCTTTCAACAATGGTGTAGGGACTGCTTGGTGAGGGTCCCTTCCAACTCTATTCATCTGTTAATCAGATTCAAGACTGGTGCCTAAAACCACTACTCCGAATGGGTATTTTTAAAAAATCTCTCTTCACATCTGCATTTTGTGGGGTCCTTGGGCTCTCTGAGCTTGGTGGTTTTCTTGCAGACGTTTCATTGCCAAACTAGGTAATACCATCAGAGCTAAAGGACCCTCTTAGTTCAACCCTGAACTACAAATATTCTCTTTTATATATATATATATATCCATGTCCAAAAAAACCTCCAGTGGGAATTGGGAAGCCTTGGGAAGAGATTTTGGCTCTTGAACATACAGAATGTGTTCAATTTTTCTTCTCAAGTCACATTTCTACACTCCCAACTCCTGGAAGAGACAGGATATCCAGATAACCAAAATTAGCCAGGATAGAGAAAATTTTTTGCAAAGAAAATTCTGAGGAGCATTGGCCACAGTGTTGAAACTGATCCTCTACTTGTGTGTTGTTGTTGTTGTTAATGTGTGTGTTGCTTCCTTCGGCAAGGAAGAAACACTGGAAATTTTTTAAAAAAGAGATTGGAAAATCATTTGTCTGTATATAGCAGTGTTGGCGAACCGGAAGTGCAGCTCCCCGGTGTGTGTGTGCGGGGGAGCTCTGGAAACCAAAAGAACAGCGCCCCAGCTGAGCTTCCTGTTTCTGGCATGTGCATGTGCGCTGGCCACCTGGTCTTCCGGTTTTTGGCATGCATGTGCATGCAAAGACCAGCTGGCCGGCGCGCATAAGCACACCAGAAACTAGAAGCTCAGCTTTCTGGCATGCGCACGCGCACTGGGGAGCTGCTCTTCCCATCTCTGGCACTCCCGCGCACCAAGACCAGCTGGCCGGCATGCCTCAGGCACACGTGCCGTTGGTTTGCCATCACAGGGTTTCCTGCCTGAGCAGGGGGTTGAAATAGAAGACCTCCAAGGTCCCTTCCAACTCTGTTATTCTATAACCCAATCAAGGCTCGCAGGGCACTGCTTTATAATATAAATGAATTTAACTAAAAATTAAAAATAAAAATGAGCAGAGGTTCAGTTACACCACTGTGGCCAAAGCTCTTGAGATTTTTTTTTCAGAAACATAGATTGTCTCTGTTGTGGATTAATATATATGTAGTGCTTAATTTATGGCTGTAATTGAGCCTGGCAGTTAGGTTCTTAAGTTGTGATTTTGCTTGTGGGAAGCCAGCTGGGAAGGTCGCAAACCGTGTTCATAGGACCCCGTAACACTGCAAATGTTTTAAATTCACACTGGTTGCCAAGCATCCAAGTTTTGATCATGGGACAATGGTGAGGATGCTGCAATGGTCCCATGTAGGAGGACCAGTAAGTCATGTTTTTCAGTGCCGTTGTAACTTCGATCAGTCACTAAGTGTAACTGGTTGTAAATTGAGGACTATCTGTATACTGTGCCTGGCTGTAATGGCTTTAGAAAATATTGATTTGAAACCTCCTGTCACTTGTGCAGAGCATAGTTTTGATGGGTCCACAAAGGCGTCCTGAATTTTTAACCCCTGTCAGGAAGCATCAGGCTTGTACAGACAGTCCTCAATTTACAACCATTCGTTTAGTGACCATTTAAAATGACAACAGCTCTGAAAAAAGTGACATGATCAGTTTTCATACTTACTTGCAGCATCCCCAGGATCAAAATGGAGAAGTTTGGCAACAGACTCATATTTATGATGATGGGAGTATCCCGGAGTCATGCGATCCCCTCGTGACCTTCTGACAAACAAAGTCAATTGGAAATCCGGATTCACTTTACAACCATGTTGTTAACTTTACAACCGCAGTGATTCACTTAACAACAGTGGCAAGAAAGGTCCTAAAACTCACTTAACAACAGAAACGTTGGTCTCCATACTGCTCATATGTTGAGAACTACTTGCCTCAGAATTCAAATGTGCATTCCAATCGTTGGTGAACACACCCCATTATTATGATTTTTGGCACAAGTTTCTCCAAGGGGGGAAAAAAACCCACATGCCAGCTTATCTGTTGAGAAGTTCAAGGTTTTCTCTTCGAACTATCTAACAATCGATAAGAGGCCACATATTTCCCACAGTCTGCAAAGCTGCCTTTGAAAAATGAAAGAAAGGAAGAAAAGAGACTTTTTTGTCTGCTCTGGGACGATTTTTCATCATAAAAAAAGGAGCGGACAGGTTTACGTAATAGGACTCTTGGGTTTATTTTTCATAGAGACGCTAAAGTATCAAGAAGTGTAAAAACCAGGATGTCTTCATGTGGTGTGTTTTTTTTACTTTGTGTAAAGTTAGCTAATTTCATCTTCTGACCAATTCCTGAGGAAAAAATATAACTGTTTAGGATCAATCCCTCTGAAAGATCCACTTTTTTGGATTCTTTCATTATATTAGATTTATATCCCATTTTTATTTTGTACTGTAAAGACAGCCTACATAATAATGGTGGCTCCTGTTTTCTCTACAACAGTAACCCTGTGAGGTGAGTTGGGATGAAAGAGAACAACTTGTTCAAAGTCAGCTTTCGGGCCTAAGCTGGAACTAGAACTCACTGTCTCCTGGTTTCTAATCCAGCACCCTCACCACAGCACCTCGCTGGGTTTTTCTGGTTCTTCTCACTTTTAGCTAAAAACAACTTGTGTCTAGTGCAACACCCTGTGTAATTTGCACTCCCTTATTCAGTTGTTGAGATTCTAGAAAGAGTGCAGCGAAGAGCAACAAAGATGGTTAGGAGATTAGAAGCTAAAACATACAAAGAAGGGTTGAAGGAAATGGGTATCTCTAGTCTGGGGAAAAGAAGAACTAAGGGTGACATGATAGCAGTGTTCCAATATTTAAAGGGCTGCCACAAAGTATAATCTATCCTCCAAAGCACCTGAAGACAAGACAAGAAGCAATGGATGGACACTAATCAAGGAGAGACACAATTTAGAACTAAGGAGACAGAACAATTAATCAGTGGAATGACTTGTCTTCAGAAGTTGCGGGTGCTCCATCACTGGAGGTTTTTAAGAAGACACTGGACAATTACTTGTGTGAAATTATAGGGTCTCCTGCTTGAGCAAAGGGTTGGACTAGAAGACCTCCAAGATCCCTTGCAACTCTGTTATTTTGTTATTCATCCACTGACATCCACTGAGTGCCTTAACTCTTGAACTCCACCATACAAATATTCCTTAATATATGGCCATAATGGGGCCTGCCCATTATGGTCCTATGTCGTCACAATCATGAGACAGTCATTTGATCAACCCAAATTCCCCCAGAACCGGTCCTTGCATTTACAAATGTCGCAGCATCCCCACGGTCAGGTGATCAAAATTTGGGTGTTTGGCATTTCTTCGTGTATTATACAACAACCGTTTTGCTTAGCAGCTGAAATTCTGATCCAAATTGTGATCATAAGTTGAGGACGGCTTATATTAATTTTCCCCAATAACATTACATCTGTTTACCTGTTTATTGGAAGACATGTTGGTTAGTGAATTGAGGCTGCTGGTATCCGTGACCACCATCGCTGAAGGGAACCGTGATGTGTGAGAATACTGAGGAGGTTCTTGCTTGTGTGTGTACACTGTGGGGAAAGGCCAACAGTTATTCTTGTGTGTGTGTGTTTTTGTGTGTGAAAAAGAGTGATAAGAGACAAAATCAGAGGGATAAAAAGAATGACAAAGATTTTAGACTACAGCCATAAATTGCTCTCCCGCCAAATATTTTATTCCGAACAGAACCAAGTTGCTATAACCTTCAAGGAATAAATCAGCAGCTTTTGAAAGTCTCGACATATGTAATTAGAATAAAACATAAATGGGACTGTGAAAATTGATTTCCTAATCCAGGATTCTCCAAACTTGTCAACTTTTAAGATTGATGAACTTCAGTTTCTGGAATTCCTCAGCCAGCATGGAAGTTGAAGTTCACAGGTCATAAAGTTGACCAATTTGGCGACCGCTGCCCGTTAAATGCTGGGTGTCCTAAGGAACTTTTCCTTCCTTTTCACTTAGGGATTTCTATCTGGGCAGGGAGTGAACTAGAAGACCTCAAATGTCCCTTACAATTCTATAATTCTGTCATTTTAAGTCCAACCTCAGAGTCCTTCATGGTAGTAAAAGAGCTAAGCTAGAACCAGGCTCAGATCAAGAATAAAACAACTTTTATTAAGGCTAAAGCATAGGCAGGAATTTGATTTAATGAAAAGAAGGACAAGGGGAGACATGATGGCAGTTTTCCAATATCTAGGAGGTTGCCTCAAAGAAGAGAGAGACCACCTATTTTCCAAAGCACCTGAAGGCAGGACAAGAAGCAAAGGATGGAAACTAATCAAGGGGAGAAGCAACCTAGAACTAAGGAGGAATTTCCTGACAATGAGAGCAATTAATCAGTGGAACGACTTGCCTCCAGAAGTTGTAAATGCTCCAACACTGGAAGTTTTTAAGATGAGATTGGATAACTATTTGTCTGAAATGAAATAGGAGTTACCTGTTGGACTAAAAGACCTCCAAGATTCTTTCCCACCCTGTTATTCTGAGGACATCACGTTCTCTCCAACAATCTAGGTTGGTGTCCTTGATATTGCCACACTCCTTTGCAATTAACTTCTGGTGTTGGTTATGCTTAGAAACAGTGATTGTTCTGAAACAGTTTTTTGTAAACTTGGGGGCTAGAAAAGGCTTGGAATCTGGGTCTCCGAGATTCACTACTCTGATCTGGCCTTCATCAGGCCCTTCCTGTACAGATACTTTGAACTACAACTCCCATCCCCACCAGTGGTAGGATTCAATTTTCTTAAAACTACCAGTTCTGTGGGCGTGGCTTGGTGGGCATGGCAGGGGAAGGATACTATAAAATCTCTAGCCAGAGGTGGCATTTGCAGGTTCTCCGAACTATTTGAAATTTCCGCTACTGGTTCTCCAGAACTGGTCAGAACCTGCTGAATATAACCTCTGATCCCCATCTCAAAAGAATAAAGTTGGCTGTATTCAGAGATACAATCTAGGTTGAAGGAAATTGCTATTTCCTGCCATGTTTATCTCTCCATATTCATGCCCCACTGCTAGGATTTAACTTATGCTGTTTAATTTTACCTACCTAACTCCCTAAGACATCATGTATAACATCGTTCTACATTACTAAAATACTCAATAATACTTTGCCAACTGGAAAAATTCTTTGTTTCTCTTGATAAAGAAGGAATTATGAGGAACTAAAAGCATTACAAAATGCTGGTTCCAATAATGGTAGGATGCTCTTAGATTACAAACAGTCTTTTTTCTTACGAATCGATCTGTTTCAAAAAAGCAATTAAACTCAACACTCCCTGTACATGAGAAAAAGGACTATTGATAGAATAATAGAGTGGGAAGGGACCTCGGAGGTCTTCTAGTCCAACCCCCTGCTCAACCCTGTACCATTTCAGACAAATAGTTATCCCATCTCTTTTTGAAAATCTCCAGTGTTGGAGCACCCACAACCTCTGGAGACAAGTACTTGAGAAAAATAGATGGGGTTTGGGTTGCATAGTTGTGGCTACCCTCCTGATTGACACAGAGGCAAACATCTTGCCGTGCTTATGGCTTCTGTTACTCTTCCTTCTCCCAGCTTCTGGCTTTCTATTTCAGCCAATACCCCCCAAAGAATCTTACTGTGTGAATTCTGCAGCTGTGTCACTGACGCCATGAATGGCTGTTGAGCCATCGGATTGGTCGACTGCTGCATGATTGACTGCTGGTGTGGGCTGTGCAGCTGTTGGGAGAACTGGACCGGTTGTAGGGCTATGCTGTTGATAACGGGGACACTCTGGGCCTGCGAACTGTTTAGGCCTGAAAGACAGAGAGACAAGTAGAAATGTTTCATTATAAAGCTCCAAAGTCTTCAGATTTTATAACACCCTGTAACGCCCACAGTCATTCTATAATTTCTCAACTCAACTCAACCTGATTTTCCAGGGCGTTATTTTTTAATTGGACTGTGCTTGTCTTTTTGTTCATATCAGATGTGTGTTAAAGGTGTTTGTTAAAAATGTTTGGTTGCTTCTGGCTAAAGACAATGAAAAGACAATCTCGCATGCATTGTTTTTGAACAATGGCATGACACTTTTAACGAGAGCCCTCTTTGAAGTTAGGACAGCACTGATAAAGTAACTGTCCTTACATTTACAACCATCGCAGCAACCCCGTGGTCCTGGGATCATGGTTTCTCATCTTCACGCAACCGGCTTCTGACAAGCAAAGTCAGTGGGGAAGCCTGTGGGAAGTAGCAACTCACAGTCACATAATCTTTTGCTTAACAACCGTGGGTGATTCGCTTAGCAACTGTGGTGAAAGTAAGGTTGTGAGCCCATTCTAGTCACATGACATCTTGCTTAAGGACTGTATTGTTTAGCAATGGAATTGCTAATCCCAATTGTGGTCACTAATCGAGAACAACCTACCCTACAAATGGCGGGAGAGCCTTGGTGGTACAGTGGTTAGAATGCAGTACCTGCAGGCTATTTCTGCTGACTGCCGGCTGCCAGCAGTTTGGCAGTTCGAATCTCATCGGCTCAAGGATGGCTCTTTCTTTCTCTCTCTCTCTGTCTCTCTCTGTCTCTCTCTCCCTCTTTCTTTCTTTCGCCTCTTTGGATCTCATCACTGATTCATTTTTTTTAATTTCCCTCTTTTCTCACAGTGCACCAAAATCAATATTTCTCTTAATATTTACTGAGCAAATGGAGATTAGCTCCAATGGAAACCAGTGTCGTTGCTACAATAGGCAGCGACAATTGCAGGAAGAAGAAAGGAAGAGATAGTAAATATTCTGCAAAGTCTTTCAGACAGGATCCTGCCCTTTTGGACTCTGTAAAGCTCCTTGCTTCCTGATGGTGCTATACAAGGAAACAGGTAATCATGAATAATTCTAAGAACAAGAAGACATTTGTCTAACTCATAAAGCACTTACTTTGTGTGATAGCCATGACTCCTGATAAAGGTGTCATAATGAGGTTCTGGGATTGTTGTGGGGTGTGATGGGAAAAGCTGTGGATATTGGTGAGAGTACTGACCGGGGGGAGCCCACCGCCAGAAACTGTAATCTGTCAAGGAAGAACAAACAAGTCAGAATTCAGAAATGGGCCATCAACAGTGCAATATTATCAACCCACAGTAACGAAGTGCCAAAGCAGAGCCCATAATGGAGGTTTTGCTGATTTCCTGGCTGCAACAAATGGCGTAAAAAATTATGTTTGTAACTTAGATATCTCGTTGTAATCTTCCTGTTAAGATTTCAGATTTTATATTCTCTGCTTTCTCTTTTACCCCATGTTCCTTTTTACTGATGTGAATATACCATATAACAAATAAATAAACAAACAAATAAATATAAAAATAAAACAATATTACCCATCTTGTGCCCCTCTTGTTAATGCAGAGTAGCAAGGTCCAAACTTTTTTTAATCAGCAAGTATTTGCTTTATTCACCCCATATATTCGGAGCATGCCCATGGTCCTTTAGATCATACAGACAACTGTGCAGTGTCATCTTTGCCCTGTTTACATGTTGACCTCTACTTACAATGGTTCATTTAGTGACTGTTCGAAGTTACAACGGCACTGAAAAAACTGACTTATGGCCGTTTTTCATACTTACGACCATTGCAGCATCCTCATGGTCACATGATCAAAATTCAGATGCTTGGCAACTGGCTCATATTTATGAGGAGTCAATGGGAGAAGCCAACTTCATTTAGCAACCACGAGATTCACTTAATGACCACAGCAAAAAAAAAGCTCCTAAAATTGGGTACGCCATCATTAAGAACTGTTCTGATTAGTGGATGAAGTTCTGGTCCCAATTGTGGTAGTAAATCAAAAGCTACTTGTAGATCAGAGGCTCCAAAATTGGCAAACTCGAGGCTTGTGGACTTCAACTTCCAGAGTTCCCCAGTCAGCATGGTTGTAAGTCAAAGGCTACCTGTAGATCAGGGGCTCCAAACGTGGCCACCTTGAGATTTGTGGATTTCAACTCCCCGAATTCCCCAGGCAGCATGGCTGGCTGAGGAATTCTGGGGGTTGAAGTCCACAAGTCCTATATTTGGAGATCCCTACTGTAGGGATCCAAGGAGGCTATCCAAACACAGCTCGCATTTGGCTTTAATTGAAACCCACCATAACCTCCTCCAACCCCTGAGATACTTTGCTAAGGATGATTCCAAATTCCTTTAATTTCACAACTCCTACAAAGGTTTCACTTGAGAGGAAAAAGACTGTCTTGAAAATATGCCTCACATTTTATTTCAAGGGGGTGGTAGGAATCTGTCTGGAGGCCCAGTTGACCCTGGCTTCAACAGTCAACAAATGACTTTCTGGATGGAAGACCAGGCTGCCTCAGTCAAGAACTATGCCTCCCCAACCAGGGAGAGAGAGAGAGAGAGAAAAGGAAGGCCATAAAAACCATCCAGTGTGACTTGAATCAGTCAAGCTAGGCCAAGAAAAATAACCCCACCAGACGAATTGCTAAAATATTCTCAGTCTGCTGCCACCGAGGCCTGGCAGAGCCCAAACAATGAGGAGAAAATAAGTACATTACAGGGAGTCCTGGACATACAACCATTCGTTTAGTGATCGTTCGAAGTTATAACGGCACTGAAAAAAAGTGATTTAATGGCCAGTTTTCACACTTATGACTGTTGCAGCATCCCCATGGTCATGTGATCAAAATTAGGGGGCGGGGTGTTTGCGCTGTGCCGAGGTTGTGCGATGTGTCCATTTGTGACCTTCCCAGTCGGCTTCACAACAGGCAAAAGTCAATGGGAGAAGCCAGATTTGCTTTAACGAACACACGATTCACTTAACAAACACAGCGATTCACTTAACAATTGTGGCAAAGAAAGGTCATCAAAGGAGGGCACAACTCACTTAACAACCACCTTGCTTAGGAACGGAAATTTTGGGCTAGGCTGTGGTGGCAAGTCAAGGACTACCTAGTGCAAAGGTAGTTAAAGAAATATATATATAGAGAGAGAGAGAGAGGGAGAGAGAGAGAGAGAGACAGAGAGAGAGAGAGGGAGAGAGAGATATATATTTCAGATGAAGTGATAGAGGTTTGAAATCGAATGTATTTTGCCAAGTGTGTTCACAGGGAAGGCTTTTAGGCATCAGACAGAGCACTGACTGTTTTCATTGTTGATTCTAGCAGTCTGGCACCGTGGCATCTTCCTATTTTGAAAGTACATATTTTGCTCATGCAGAAGACATCAGTCAAGGATGGGTCTCCATTCAATTTGCCAGCTTGCGAATGGGAAGATCAACAGTGGTGGGGAAACTGTTTTCTAGAGAGGCTGATGTGGCTTGGTGCCTCGTATTTGGTAACGCTATATGAGTGGTCTTTATGTCAGTAGAAGTCTCTTCCTGTCCTCTAATTCTGTGTTTCTCAACCTTCACGACTTGAAGACTTGTGGACTTCAACTCCCAGAATTCTCCAGCCAACTGTGTTGCAGTCCATAGGTCTTCGAGAAACAGTGAACAGGTAGTTCTCAACTTACGACCATAGTTGAGCCCAGAATGTATGTTGCTAAAGTGAGAAATGTGTTAAGTGAGTTTTGCCCCATTTTACAACTTCTCTTGCCACATTTGTTAAGTGAATCCCCGCAGTTGTTAAATTAGTTACACGGCTGTTAAGTGAATCTGGCTTTTCCCATTGACTTGGCTTGTCAGAAGGTTGAAAAAAGATGATTGCATGACCCCGGGGGCACTGCAACAGTCATAAATATGAACCAGTTGCCAAGCACCCGAACTTTGATCACGTGACGTTGGGGAGGCCGCAATGGTCGTAAGCGTGAAAAATGGTCATAAGTCACTTTTTTTCGGCGAGGTTGTAACTTTAAAAGGAGATTAAACAAATGATTGTAAGTCGTGGGCGTCTCATACTGATAACCCTACATTCATATCAGCCTCAAAGAAGCTTCCAAGCATTACTGAGGAGAATCTATATACAGTATATAAAAGTGAAATACCACTCACATATCATCATAAAATCTCTACAACCATAAAGCTTACAAACTTGAAATTTGGCACATATGTTCCTCTTGGCTTCTAGGTGCTCACTAAGAAAGGATTTTGAGAAATGACCATCAGAGCATTAGTATATCCTGTATTATTATTATTAACACGCTCTAACGCTAAAGAGTCCTACTCCTCCTCCCTACCTGAAAAGAAATCTGTTCCAAATGCAAAACGCAAGCAGAGGAGAGGAGTTTCAGTTTCAGTTTTAGTTTCACAGCACCAACCAGCTTTAGTACAGAACAGTTGAGCTAAGCCATGCCCAGGCTCCTTGCTGTCTCCTTCTTGCTCACACAGCAAATACTGTTTCAGTTTCCAAACAGGACTCTAGCCAGATGAATACCAATGGATGCTGGTAGGCAGAGGCAGAATTCCCCCCCCCCTTATTTTCCTCCCAAAAAACTCGAGCTAGTAGTTGAATAACCAGAGGATTGACCATGTGATCTCCACAATTCACAAAGGGAGCTGGTTGTTTCATTACACCCACTGTGATACAGCTGTCTTCACTTCCTAGGATCCAAGCTCCTGATCTGGGGCCAGGCATTCATATTTCACACTGAAAACTGCCCATAAAATATAAAGATAATAAAAATGTTCCCCAGCCTAGGACATTTTTACTTCTAATCTTCCCTCAAGGAAGGAGACATTCCTCAGCTTAGCTAAACCAGGCATGCATGCATGCATGCATAATAATTTATTTATTTATATATATATATATATTTGTAAAAAGCCACCATTAGGTTTCCAGCTCATCTTGGAAAAACAATTAGGACAGAAACAAATGAATTAATGCAGCAAGGGAGAGGGAAATCACCTGACTGGGAAGGAATTTAAACTCTGTGATAAAAGGCTTCACGTTCATTATGGCATTCTCTGGAATAACGGCCCCCAAGACATGCTAGGAATTAAACCCTGGAATAATTCATAGGCCAAATTCCAGTGCAAATTCATTATTTACATTTTTAATTGCTACTGTATTAGGAATACATTTTAAATGATAACTTGTGTTTTGCTCTCCTGATAGTACTACCCAAACCCTATTTTGCTTAGAAGAAATGGAAAGTCCAATTAATTTTACGTCTGAGATGAGTGTGCGCAGGATGACGGTGTAAATGTAAGCAATGTGCATGTTTGTAGGAGGCTTGGGATCATAAATAAAAAAATGAATGTGCAGTTTTCCTCCAATTAAATCAGGACAGATAGTTTAGGAAAGATTCTTGCATTTCAAATACAAGCAGGAAAAAGGAGAAACACCTGTTCACACTGGGAACAGGAAGAGGGAGAAATTGAGGAGTAAGTTCTGAGATGCTTTTGTGCTTGGTTTTTATTTCTTTTTAACCCTTTACCTTTATCAAATCACACAAATCAAAATATATACCCTCTTCTTCTGAAAATAAGAGTTGAGAAAAAGGGAGAAAGTTTGCCCCAAAAAGTGGGAAAAGAAGTAAGCAATCAATAGAAAAGAATATTTGTGGCTCAGGGTTGAACTGTAGGGTACTTGGTGTTCTCTGAGCTTGGTGGTTTTCTTGCAGACATTTGATTATCAAACTAGGTAACGTCATCAATGTCAGTACTCCCTTACTAGCACTAATGACATTAACGTGTTTGGTAATGAAATGTCTGCCAGAAAATAACCAAGTTCAGAGAACCCCAAGAACCCCACAGTTCTTCCCTCAGCTAAAATACAAAACCATCCTTTAGAGTTGAAGCAGGGGTGGGATTCAAATTTTTTAACAACCAGAACTGTGGGCATGGCTTGGTGGTCATGTGACTGGGTGGTCATGGCTTGGTAGTCATGTGACTGGCTGGGTGTGGCCAACTCAATATCACTCACATCGAGGCACACATCTCCTCGCCTGGCCTCTCATGACTGTTGGGGATGCTGCAACAGTTGTAAGTGTGAAAAATGGTCATAAGTCACTTTTTTCAGTGCCATTGTAACTTTGAATGGTCATTCCACACAAGCAAAGTACCAGCAAAGGAGGGGAAAAAAAAACTCCAGAGAAGTTCCTGAGACAGGAAGTCTAGTCCTGCCAAGAACGCAACAAGGGTTAACGGAGAGGCAATTTCTGTAAGCAACACCAGAATGTTTCCTTCCTGCCTTCCTTACAGGATTAGGCCAGTAATTTCTTCTAACAATTGGCTCTCTGAACTGCTTAGAATGTTAACAACTGGTTCTAGAGAATAGGTGCGACCTGGTAGAATCCCACCCCTGAGTTGAAGGTGCTGTAAAGAAGGCTTATCAGCTACTACTTGAGAATAGTTTCATTGGTTTTCCTATATATCACAGAGGTGTGGGTCCTTTGTGCTCTCTGAGCTTGGTTGTTTTCTTGCAGACATTTCATGACCAAATTAGGTAACATCATCAGAGCTGATGATATTACCTAGTTTAGTAATGAAATGTCTACAAGAAAACCACCAAGCTTAGACAGCACCAAGGACTCCAAAGAAGAAAACAATTTATATTTTTCATCTGCCAATAACTAAATAATAGTAGTAACTAAAAAGACAAAGATAATTTTTTCTTGTTTTATTTCCTGTTTATGCAGTTCTTCAGGACAACCCTAATAAATTTGTCCTTGTAAATTAGGTACCAAGCTAGGATGTCTCATAGCCAACAAAGACTTTGAAACCAAATTTTCTATTATAGTAGAATATTATACAGCTTGAACTGAAGAATCCACCCCAATATTGCAGCAAAGGCTAAGTTATGAATGGCACTATCGTGATAAAAGCATTTTTATCACTGTATCCTTCACTCCATTTGATGTCCATGTTTGTAGAAGTAAAGGGTGGAGGCCGGATTGTTGAAGCTTGCTAAATAAAATTATAACATTTGAAGAGTTAAGTGACATCTGGGATGACTTAATCAAGATTTGGTGGCCTGTTTTTTTTTAATCATGTGGAATGTCATCAGCAGTGAAGAGTAAACAGTGATCCACCCCATTGTGCCAATTTGAGAGGCATTCGATCAATACCCTGAGAGCAGTTTTTATTGGCATGGTTCAATGCCTAAGCAGGGAATGAGAAGGTCAGAAGGCTATTTTCCCTGAAAGCACTCAGGCCTTTACCCTCCTCATGCCTACAAGCCTTTCATTGTTTAATGCAGGTCTTGTGGGGGAGGGGGGGAGGGAAAGGAGAGTTTTAACATGTAGGAAAAAAAGAAAGTTCTGTTTGTTTTTTGCCTCCTAAGCTAACTTATCTTATCAGCACCTGAGGTACAATAGCCCAGGTGTGCTCACCATTTTACCGTCCGGGGACAGCAGGCTGTGGCTGTGACCTGGGTCCAAACTGGCTGGAGATACTGGCTGGAGAATGGACTGGCTGGTGGTCACCATTGAGTTGTTACCATGATGGCTGATGGAAGTTGAAGAAGTGACTTCATTGCCCCCTGGGTGGCTGTAGCGGATCCCTGCGAGAATGCAATGACATAGAAGAAATCATAGCAATTTTGAAGCTAAATTAGGAAAAAATGTAGAAGTCCGTTTATTTATTTATATCCCACTTTTATTACATTTATAAGTAACTCAAGGCAGCGAACACACATAATACTCCCACCTCGTATGTGCCCCACAACAACCTTGTGAGTTGAATTGGGCTGAGAGAGGGGGACCAGCCCCAAGTCACCTAGCCAGGTTTCATGCCTAAGGAAGAAACTAGAACTCACCGTCCCCTGGTTGAAAATCAACCAGTGGACTTTCATGCCTAAAACAGGACTAGAACTCACATCTCCTGGTGATTGGCTGAAAACCAACCAGCTGAATTTCATGCCTAAAATGGGACTAAAATTCACCGTCTCCTGGTGATTGACTCAAAATCATCCAGCCAGCTTCATGCCTAAAACGGGATTAGAACTCATAGTCTACTGACGATTAGACCAAAGTCACCCAGCTGTGTTTTATGTCTAAAGCAGGATGAGAACTCACAGGTTGCTAGAGATAGGTCTCGACTTACAATTGAGCCCAAAATTTCTGTTGCTAAGCAAGAAAGTTGTTTAAAATGAGTTTTGCCCCATTTTACGGCCTACCTTGCTCCGCTGTCAAGTGAATCACTGCTATATTTAAGTTAGTAAAATGGTTGTTTTAATGAATCTGGCTTTCCCACTGCAGAACTGATTCTTAGATGGTAGGGTCCAGCATTTGGGATTCAATCCCCCAAATGGTATTCATATCCTGCTCAAATCAACATCTCTAAGGTCCAAGTTTTAGTTTTATTTTATTTATTTTGATTTGTCAATCGCTTACAAGATAATAGGTATAAGTATACATAGTTATGAATACATGAAATAGGTACATATAAGAAAAATAAAAGAAACAATAAGGACAGGGACAGTAGGCACACTGGTACGCTTATGCACGCCCCCTACAGACCTCTTAGGAAAGGGGTGAGGTCAATAGTAGACAGTCTAAGGTTAAAGTTTTTGGGGTCTGGGGAAGAAAGCACAGAGTCAGCTAGAGTATTCCAGACATTGACCACTCTGTTGCTGAAGTCGTATTTCCTGCAATCAAGTTTGGTGCGGTTAACCTTAAGTTTGTATCAATTGTGTGCTCTTGTGTTGTTATGGTTGAAGCTGAAGTATTATTGACAGGTAAGTCATTGCAATGTATGATTTTATATACCATACTTAGATCAGACCAAAGACAGCGTAATTCAAGGTTTTCTAGGTCTAGAATTTCAAGTCTGGTGGCATAAGGTACTCTACAACGAGTAGAGGAGTGGAGAACTCTTCTTGTGAAATATTTCTTATCAGATACATAATGTGGGTTCCAGACTGATGAGCTGTATTCGAGTATTGGTCTAGCAAATGTTTTGTATGCTCTAGTTAGTAGTGTGATATTACCAGAGAAAAAGCTACGTATGATTAGGTTAACAACTCTTAATGCCTTTTTGGCTGTGTAGTTACAGTGGGCTATAGCACTTAGATCATTAGAAATGATTACTCCAAGGTCCTTTACAGAGCTTGGATCATCAAGAAGGTCTTGACTATTCAGCATATTCATATTCAGTTCAATAGATAGCAGTCAACACACCCAGGCACAAAGAGAGACGGCAATAGTGTAGAATGGTAAAAACACTACTGGAGTTACAACATCATTTTTCTTTTAGAATGAGATCTCTGCTGACTCTCTTTAAATCAGACTAACACCAGACAAACAAACAGGCAGAAAACAATACTAATTAAGGAACCATGAAAGGGGAAACCTCAGCCCCACCAAACTGACAGGGCAAGCTACTGTCTAATAATCTGCTCTGCTGGTTTGGTTTGGTTTGGTTTGGTGGTGGGTTTACTGCTTAGGCGAAACCTAGCTCAAAAACAGTAACTGTGAGAGGGACCTTGGAGTTCCAGTGAACGATCACTTAAACATGAGCCAGCAGTGTGTGGCAGCAGCCAAAAAAGTTAATGCAATCCTTGGTTGTATAAACAGAGGCATAGAATCAAAATCACGGGAAGTATTAGTACCACTTTTATAATAAACCTTAGTAAAACCACACCTTGAATACCGCATCCAGTTTTGGTCACCACATTACAAAAAAGATGCTGAGGCTTAGGAAAAAGTGCAAAGAAAAGCAACTAAGATGTTTAAAAGCCTCTGGGTTAAAACATATGAGGAACGATTGCAGGATTTGGGTTTGGCCCGTCTAGAGAAAAGAAGGGCTAGGGGGGACATGATAGCAGTATTCCAGTATTTGAGAGGCTGCCACAAAGAAGAGGGGGGGTAATTATTCTCCAAAGCATCAGAAGGCAAGACAAGAAACCACGGATGGAAACTAATCAAGTTGAGAAGCAATCTGGAATTAAGGAGAAACATCCTAACAGTGAGAACAATTGATCAGTGGAAGGGGTTGCCCTCAGAAGTTGTGGATGCTTAATAACTTGAGATTTTTAAGAGACTGGACAGCCACTTGTCTGAAATGGTGTAGCGTATGAACAGCAGGTTGGACTAGATGGAAGATCTCCCTTGGTACCTATCCTATCCTATCCTATCCTATCCTATTCTTCTTCATATAAATACTGCACAAATCTACATATAAATACTGCACACCGCACACTACCTCACACTGACTTATCTGTATATCTATTGATGGATAATTTGACTGAAAGCTAAGCTTTCAGGAATTTGTTAGATCCGAGGTGCCCAATCTTGGCAATGTTAAACATCTATGGACTTCAACTCTCAGAATTTCCCCAGCTAGCCAACCAGCCAACTTCCTTGTTTTAAAATTCCAACTTTTAAATTTACCACAGAGATCACAATTTTCATGTTTTGGGCAGAGTGAAATAAACATCAAATATTTACTCCTTCTCAAAAAAATATACTCACCAAGATTATTTAATATTCCTTATTTGCTACATGAATATATCCCTGTGGCTCTCAGTTGATTCCCTATATTTTTCAACATGTTTTTGAGATATTCCTGTCTTTTCAGGGTGACTGGTTAGTTAGTTGTTAGTTAGTTTACTTTATTGTCATTGCACCTCGTACAACGAAATTAAATACCATCTTCAGTGTACATTATGACTGAAAATAAACACAAACACACATCCTTCACATTGACTATCTTGCAAATGATTATTTATAATCATTGTAAGATGTGCTTTCTCACAATCAGGTATATCGATATATCTGCCTAAATTAATCCTTTCTCCTTCTGTAACTAATCCTCAAACCAGGGATTTTAGCATCAATGGCTATCATTTGTCCTGGGCTCAAGACATCCTACAGTGCAATCTGAATGGCTAATTTAACTTTATGGCACCTTCTAACAGCCCTGCGAGTTTAGCTGATGCTTGGGAGGGCCTGTTTATCTGGTGAATTTAACCTTTTTCATTGTCTAAATAGAGTTTCTGTTGTCTTTCTCTTTCCTTTTGCAATCACTTCTTCCCCAATTTTTTCCTTTGGAAAAGAAAACAAGAAAAGCTATAGTTAAGTCTTTAGTGACTTACAACCATTCTTTTAGTTCAAAGTTAGAACGGCACTAAAAAAAGTGACTTATGACCATTTTTCACACTTATGATTGTTGCAGCCTCTCCTTGGTTGTGGGATCAAAATTTGGATGCTTGGCAACTGGCGTCTATTTATGACAGTTGCAATATCCCAGGGTTATGTGATCACCATTTGAAAAGCAAAGTCAATGGGGAAGCCAGATTAACTTAACGACCGTGTTACCAACTTAACAACTTCAGTGATTCATTTAACAACTGTGGCAAGAAACATCGTAAAATGAGGCAAAGCTCACTTAACAAATGTCTCACTTAGCCATGGAAATTTTGGGCTCAATTGTGTTCGTAAGTTGAGGACTACCTGAAGATATTACTACCAGTAGTGGTACTTTGAATGCTGCTGAGTTTTAGATGCATGAAAGATAAAACAACAACTGCTATTAATGTTTTATGGATATATTTTGTCAGAGAAGATCACCCATATAACTAAATCACACATGTAGGGAAAATACGGTATTAAAGCCTAGCAAAAAAGGGACGTATTAGCTCTAAATAAGGTGGAAAAAGTGAATATCCACATATAGGTAGTCCTTAACTTGTGACTACCATGGGGACCAAAATTTCCTTCTGTCAGCATTGTTAAGTGAATCATACCTGAATTTACAACCTTTTTTACAATGGTTGTTAAACAAATCACTGCACTTGCTAAATGAATCATGCAGTTGTTAAATGAATCCAGATTCCTTCATTCACTTTGCTTGTCAGAAACCAGCTTGGATGGTCACAAATGGTGAAGATATGACCTTGGGACACTGCAATCATTACAAATCCATGCCATTTAACAATCATCTGAATTTTAAATATATGAGTGTGGGAATGCAGTGATAGTCATACTTGCAAGAATCAGTTGTAAGTCACCTTTTCCACTGCTGTTGTAAGTTCAATGAGTTACTAAACAGATGGTTGTAAATTGAAGATGACCTGTATGCACATACAAGACATGTCTATGCTACCAAGGGAGCTGTTTTCATTCCATCAAAACTGAGAAAGATTTTATAGTACATAGGTCCTACAGCAGTGATCACATACTAATAAAAATTACCAAACTCTTTGCTCAGGCATTCCTTGCTGAATCTTAAGGCGAAGTCAAAAAAATGTCACCGCCTTATCTGGGGTTGTTGGGTTTTTTCTTTTATATTTTTCATCTCGCCTTTATTATTTTAATAAATAAACTAAGATGGCGAACATGCCTAATACTTCCTCCTCCTCCTCCTCTTTTCCACACAACAACCCTGTGAGGTAATTTGGGCTGAGAGAAAGAGTGATTGGCCCAAAGTCACCCACTGTTTTTCAGGCCTATGGTGGGATTAAAAGTCTTCTGGTCATTGGCCCAAAGTCACCCAGTCAGCTTAGATATCTAAGTTGGAACTAGAACTCACAATCTCCTGGTTTCCAGTATGGTGCCTTAA